GTGAGAGGTGCAGGTCGACCGACAAGGCATGGCGAAAGAGAGAACGATAGAAAGATAGAACGACAAGGAGAGAGAAAACCGTTACGTGACTACATAACGAAGGAGTCGCTTCGTCGACGGGTCGTTCGAAGTAATCAAGGGATAGAATAGGTAAACGAGCTTCTTCGGCGAAAGGAAATGCGCCTGAGAAACGAAACGAACGAGATCCTTGGAAAGACAAGAATAGCGCTGATAACGAAATTCGTTTCCTCGCATAAATAAACTGTATTTAGAGCATTTTAAAAACAGTCCTATATATATAAAGCGCGAAGTAGACGGAAATTGTCACAAAAATTGTTAATGATCAATCATTTGCGTAGATATAACATTTATCGGGACGATAATTGGTCCTTCAACGAATCAATAATTTTTATTACACGTGCAGGAGCAGAACATCGGATATTTTAATATCCAATGCTTATTATTCCGTGATCAATTATAAGATAATGTAATAACGCGCTCTCTTACATCACATCCTGTTAATAAATGTTACAACGATATCAAAATGCGAAATGCGATTTCATAAATATGTTGCAAGTGTTGAAGCCAAAATGGATCAAGTGAGATTTAACGATATTTAAAAAGAGATGAGTTTAAAACTCTGCTTTATTTGCACGAAAGCTTTGCGTTCTTTACAGAACGCGATAACTCTTCAGAAATACGTTGTCAATGATGATGTGAATAGTATCATGGCTACATTGCGTTGTGAGCGGCGTTGAAAACGCGGCGCAACAGTATTCATAGGCACTAGCTCTTGAAAAAAAAACCCGACAGAAATTTAAATTGCCACTTTTGTATTGTGCGTTTCTTTCATAGAGAAGTGGTAATTCCGCTTGTAATTCTTAACGCCCCGCAATTATAAACCGCAATTAAAAACCGCATTATGAAGAAATAGATTGATGTTAAAACGCAGTATACATCGGCGAATGAATATTTAAAATACTACTTCGCGTATTTATTTTAATCATTTAATTTTATAATTGATAAATTCTGTTCGAGAGAAACACTGCTAACGGTGAACACGGATAAGCATAATATAAAATTCGTGTGGGATTTTTCAGCTGTGTCTTTGTTATAATTATATACGATTTTTTAGCTTATCGATCATGCTATTGTGTGCTTTCTCGCCGTATTATTTTTTAGACTAGCGAAACATCGATGTTCATTTACAATAATTCGCAAATTCGGCATTAACCATCACATTAACCGAGTCGGCATCGCAGCAGCGCTTGTAACAGCTAATTAATTCGGTAGAATAATTTAAATTACGACCTATCTGTCAGTTGGAAATTCGACGACGTCAGTAATATCACCGGCCGTAATTAAATTGAAGCCGAAATATATAATAGCTGAAATAAAGCATGCGGAGCAAGCCGGATTATTTTGCAAAGATATATAATAATAACGATATTTCGCGATATAATAACGATGCATTTGCATCGGAAATAGTCGGCTAATTCGGACACAAAATTTTCCCGCTATACGTGATCATGTGACATTAATATGACAAGTAAATGCAAGTAAACAGATTTCACACTGAAGCCAAGGATTTATCGAAAAACGAATTCGGCGAAATCAATTTGCTGTGAGAAAGCTCGATATGGGAGATAAGAATCAACGCCGCCGAATGATTGAATGAATCTGTTAATAAAGCTACAAACGAAACGCTTTTCACACCTCGCATTGCAATTTTTGTGCGCCGCGCACATACCTGTGTATGTTTTTCCATGTGTGTTAAAATAAATATCTGGAATAAATAACGCTAAGCGACATTGCGCACATCGACAATTTCGCCGAAATATCATTTTCCTGACGTATTGCATTAAAATATAAAAGCCGCGTCGCATTTAATTCAAGAAAATGTATTCGATCTAGTATTTGTAAAAAACAAATTATTTATCTAAACACGAATGTCTGTGCATAAGAAATACGTATAAATAATCTCATTATTAATTTTTCAAATTTTAATCGAATTTAATACAACGATTAAACAAACAAATAATGAAGTGCGAAACAGAAATCGCGTTGGCGACGATGCAAAAATAAAATAAGTATTTTCGTGATCAATATACATTTCAATTCTGCATTTATTTCCTGCCAAATATAACTCAGTTACAGATATATGCAGCAACTTTAATAAATTTTACAAATTGCACAAAGTTTTAATTAATGAAATAGAAGATACAGTATATTTTTTACTGAATTCTAATAAATAATGAAATATAATCTTCATTTTCTTTTGAAATATTACAGTTGGATAAAAATATTTCATCCACTTCCTATACCTTTGCTCAAGGCAGTAATTCCTTGCATTTCATCCAGTTTCTACATCTGTAAATCAATCAAGCGATTTTGCGCCAGGTCGACGTGAATTTCTAGCGATCAACGGAAAGATTAAGTAACTCGAAACGTCATAAATATGCAGCTAGGACGTAATGGCAGACGAGTCTTAAGAATTCATTAATAAAAGCACGGGAGGAGATAGCCGCTTTCGTACGGCGATTAATCACAACCTGAGACGCTCGTGCCGAGCTTTATGGAGCCGTTAAACACAGCCGCCGAGATAACATGAGAAGTTAAAAAGGCAACCCGTTTAGCATTTTATTCGCCGACACTTGAAGCTCTCCCGTTCCTTTTTTTCTCTATTTTCGCGCGCGCTTCGTCCGGTCATTTGCGATTTCCTACTTTAATGCAGTATTTCGGTTGCGCTCGCCCAACTGTAGCGATCCAAATAATTGAGGAAAAGTGATCCGTAATTGGAGTTACGAGCCAGTCTTCGCAGTCGCGGGAAGGGGAAATAATTATAAATAGTCTATTGCATCCGAGTACAACTAGGAAAAGGTAAACGAAAATGTATTGCTTGAAAATCTTTAATTTGCGAGGAACGTTTCGCGTCCGCGCGAATATAACGTTGCTCCGCTGCATAAAATGAGCTTGATTATTCGTTCGTAAAAGAATAATCCGAAAAAAGTGAGGTATTAGAATATTTTACGGCGTAGCGCCGGTGCATTCTACGCTTTACAGAAACAATACGGCGAGGAGAATTTAAGATCAAATTTGATCTTACACGGTTTTTTAAAAGTGCATTAATAGGGCTGCTTAAAATAATCGCCTTTATGTGTTCGCTTTTATATCACGGGAGGGAGAAGATAAACCTCACAGTGTATAATACAAGAGTGACACGAAAGAATAATGATAAGTATATATTAATCAACACTACATCCTCACACAATGCGTAATACAATGCCATTTGCGCGATCGAAGTTTAAACTTCGATTATATCCCCCCCCCTAAAAAAAAGCTCCGAGACAATTGAAGTCATAACATACTCCTGTCCGCGTCAATGACAGGAGTTCCGACCTAATCGTGAAGACGTAAGATAACAAAAGTCGAGAGATGAACTACATCCCAATCTCCGATCGTAGTGCGTAGTCTTAATCGCAGCTTAAACGTTCTCACGATATGCATCCCTGTGTGTGTACTGATATCTTTAAGTATCATTAAATGTGTAACGATAAGTCGTAGAAGGATGTAGAAAGCGTTTGTGTGCATTTTTTCGTCGAATTGCATCTTCAATAGCTGCATGATAGTATAAGCGTTCTTCTCTTCGTCGCTATCTCTCTGCGCAACACACCATTGCCTCTTCTTTTTCGTACACGTCTACCTGCACTTCGCGCACAAGTAAGTACGCTATTTTCAATTTTCCTACTTTCGCTTATCTAAGAGTAGAAAACTGCTGTAAGTTATTTTCATTATTCTAGCAAAATGACGATAACTGTGGCCAATAAATAGAATTAATTCGCCTCGATGTGTCCTATCGCTGTTAAAATTCTAAAAGTATTGATTCCGGTACCGTTAGTTGAGTAAAACTGTGTAAATATAATGCATAAAAGTCCAAAATAAAACTAAAAGATACCTAAAGAACATTAAAAATCTTATTTTAATAATATTTTTAAATATTGATACTTTTCTTTTTCATATCTTTCAACATCCTCTTTTAAACGTTTTATTGCCTGCTCAAACAACATAAAAACGCATAAAAGACATGTGAAAGACATCTTACAATCGTCTTCATCATGCCTTTTAAGCATTTTTCGTTGACCGTAGTGTGTGTTGTTTTTTTCTCGTGTATGCGTGTGCTTCTCCCTTCTTAGCTGTGTTATTTATCCCGATTATTATTATCAAATAATGATTCGCTTACTCTGCTTATCTATTGTTTCTTTCTCAACTTTCGCCTACAGTGTGAGTCACGAGAGCCGATTCCGTGACAGGCCCATTCGAGGGGCACCGAATCGCCGTGTGTTGTGACTGCGAGTGTGTCATCGTGGAGTGTGTGTCTTCATTCGCGTGGAGAGGCTCAAATCTTCGTCACGTCCGGAGAGTGCTTCGTGCTTTATTATTTATCATGTTATTCGCTTAAATATACAAATCAATGGAACCTTTTTCCATAAAGAGAGATCAAAGAAAACTAATACACGGTATGAATTACAGTTGATAGATCCAATGTAACCACTAGAATAAAAGTAAATTTGAAAGCGCAGTTTGCACTCTTGCCAGATAAATATAATATCAACCGCAAAAATTGTATTTTAAAAATGGCATTATTTTTAGATATGTTATTCTCGCTCATTGAAGCTTCGCGTTAAAATATTTAGAATGCAAATATTCTCTCGATGTCCGAGCTTTTAAACCTCTCCGCGCGCCGGAAATGCGCGAGCAAGCCGCGTATACGAATGAAAGATTATTAAGGATGTATGAGGAAAAAATGGAGGGAGAGAATATCGAGGAGGAAGGTTTGCAAGCGACGGCGATTATGCCGTAGCTAAGAGAATCCGAGAGAATAATCTTTCATTCTTGACGAGAGGGAGCGGCTAACAGCATCGGTCCACGCTATTTCCGTGACTAATCGCTTTCTTTTTGTATTCTTTCTTCGGGGGATTTATGGAAATACCTCGATTCAGGATCATACTTCAATTGCATCATGTTCATGGTAGCGAGCAGCGTTGTGCTGACCGTTTTGGTGCTCAACTATCATCACAGATCACCTGACAGATACGTGATGCCAAACTGGGTAAGAAATGTACACAATAAAATGTGATTATTGTATAATTAGTTAGATGTAATTAATATTAAATAGGCATATCAAACAATATAAATGCAATGATAAATGTAGCGCATGTTATTAATGATGCAATGTTGAAATAAACAATAGCAATTTGTCAAAGTAATCTCGTGTATAAATAGCTTTGATGGCTAAATAAACGTTTAAAATTAAATAAACATTGATAAATAAGTAAATGCTAACAATGCCGATAAATGTAGTTATTATGAGCATATAATTGATTTATATCTATCTTTGTAACTTTATACATTTGTATTTTCTATTCTCTGTAGTTTTTATTATTGATAATCTTTATAGATTTGCACGCAAATTAAAAAAAAATTTAATTAAATATATGGATAACCAGATATTTTTAATTTACTTCGAAAATACGATATGGCCGATTGTGTACAGTAAAATATTTCGGTCATATTTCAATAAAGATCAATGAAATTTTAGATGTATAGTGAAATAAGCCGCTTAACTAAAAGGATTAGCCAAAATTGTATTTGTTTTCGACATTGTTGTGTTTGTATTTATACTGAGATCGTTACAAATTTAATTGGTTTTCATTATGTTCTATAAATGAATAACCAATAATTTTGAACCGTGCAACGTAATTTATAATCACAATAATAAAATGCGGTCACAAATATATCACATTCAATTGGCAACATTATTATGAATCAAATATTCAAATAATTGTAATTAAATTTAAAGTCAAATAATGCAAAGCAGCAGTTCAATATTTTATGTTATATAACTTTTAAAAAATTTTTTATATTATTGTTATTATTATAATGCAGTTAATATATTAGAATGATGCAAAGTAATTTTGCAGTGTGTAAAAAATATTTCGCATATAATAATAAAAATATATTTGCACTTTACGGTAATTATTACGATCGTTAAAGACAGTACTTTACTTGTTAAAAGTTTAAAATGCCTTCGAGGTGTTTAATACTTGTTCTCGACTCGTCGTTTAGTGCAAGTTTCGTAAACATACCAGAAATGTACTCCGAATTCAAACAAGTGTGCTCTGTTTACAAAGCATCTGTAGTGTATACTTGCACGGTTTACCTATGTATAAAATGCATCGTATCGAATTTTCAGCAATTCTCTGACGAAGAAAATACGATCAAATTTATACACGAAGAAACCAAGAGAGAGAGATCACGAAATGATAAACTGAATATTTTATTTGTCAGTTTATTTTCTAGCTTTTATGGAATCTCTTATTATTAAAGGAAGATCAACGTTTATCTGATGAAATATTAACGAAAAACTATTGTCATTTAAGGATTTCTTGTGGATTTTATTTTAGCAATCTTTTATTATTCCTTCAAACAGCACTTATAAAATGTTCATACCTTGAACAACATTGCAAGTTCCTTGAAAATATCGAATTTCAAATATGACGTGCACCACGGATGATAGGGCACATAGTTTAATATACTATACTTTCCAATTTCTGAACAATTTCCTATTTTCGTTGCGAAATTCAGAAAAATAAAGTTGTGAGAAAATTTTACTAGAGTGACGATGTAGTTAGAAAGTTTAAAAAAACAAATCATGTGATGTTTATGCAGGTGAAAATAGTGTTTCTACAATGGCTGCCGTGTGTGTTACGCATGAGTCGGCCGGGCAAGAAGATCACGAAGAAAACCATTCTCATGAGTAATCGAATGAAGGAGCTGGAGCTGCAGGAGAGGAGCAGTAAGAGTTTATTAGCGAACGTTTTAGACATCGATGACGATTTTCGCCACGGAAACAGCGCCGCTAATCCTGCCTCGGGCTATATAAGGTACCATCGGTTCAAATCTTTCCTATTCATCGCGATTAGCGAAAATTCTGTGGTGCGGAAGAGGCTTAACATTTATTTTCTCGGCTGACTACGCTATTTTCACTAACAAGAGCGGTTTGTTCCTCCCTTTTTTTTTGATGGATCGAACGACAAGCTAGCGTTATTCACTGGAAACAAAAATCGTGTCACGTTTTTAATCTTGTTGCGAAAAATGCAACGAGGAAAAAAAGCTGGGCACGAACGCATATAATAATCTATTGTGAGCGATCGAATGAACAGCTGCGAACACAGCGAAAACGAACGAGAGGCGAATACATGTTTTCGAATAAATGTATTCGGCTATATCCACGCGTTCGCCTGTGCTTAATGTTGTTTTACACCTTCGGTAGAGAAAATTAAAGACATAGATGGATTACACAAACGGCACATTATATTTACTTTGCAATAATTGCAAATGGTAGAGATCTACTCGTGCAAGATTTGTCGCTCGAAACGGCCGCAAAAAATTATATATAGCCGGAATCAAATATCGAGATATTCGATCCTTGATAAACACCAACTCAATCTACCGAATCCGCATTTTCACGTTTTCCCACAATATTTCTTGTGGTTTTTTCCATCGTCAATTTTCGCGAAACGCTAACAAAATATTCGGTTCTGACCTTTTTTTCGCTCAATAATCGTTGCCGGACAATTTTTGCCGAACAATCCGTTTCCTCCTCTATCTCTTGCGTTCTCCTCTTTGTCACGTCACTCTGGAAAACTCGATAATGAAAATGAAGATCCGTGATGTATTATTCCAATTGAATTGCATAACGCAGTAGTTTCAATATTTTCAAATTCTCTACTCAAATTATTATAAGAATATATTAGAGTGTTCATTAGACTTTAAATTAAAAGCAGTATTTTGCAAACTTAACATTTCAAACAAAAAATTATCAATTGTTATATATTCTCAAATTGTGTTAAAAACAACAAAGAATAAAATTAGTAGCGCAAAGATAAAGATCAAAATCTTAATAAATATATACGTATATGTAAAGTTAGCAATATTAATAGGTTATTGAAGAAAGAAATTATCATAAACATGAATAATGTAAGTCTCAAGTCTAAATTATCATGATAATTCACGATACAGTATACATAATATCATGCTAACCATTACCGTATATTATACTTCAAGGAAATTCTCAAGTTCTCCCATCCGTGCAAAAATTTCTGTGCATGCCTTTGAAAGAAAGACACCTTCGAGGACGATAATTTATGCGATCTTGTACAGCAGGTCAGCGTACGGCACACCGCTGTCGGCCAGACCGGCGACGGTCGAGGAGACTTCGGCATCGTTGCCTCTCAGCGGCATGCAGAAAGAACTTCATACGATTCTCAAGGAATTGCAGTTCATCACGAGCCGCATGAAAAAGGCGGACGAGGACGACGAGGTTATTAGCGACTGGAAATTCGCCGCCATGGTTGTCGACAGGTTGGATGTTTTAAATCTTTCATGTAGTTTCAAGTCGAGCGCTCGGTGCGAAAAATCACGGACAAAGAGATAGCTTTTACAGCGAACTCAAGGTTCAGATCCTCGTTTTTCGCGCGAAGGAAACTCATCCGACATTTATGCGCCGACTCATTAACTTAACTCTATGTGAATCCATTACGCGTAATCTTCGGACGTAAATTTGGAATTTCAGTAATAAGTAATACTATTTGAAAAATATTCTTCTTTGTTTAAATCAATTATTTCGATTATTTCCAATTTTCTCATTGAATAAACTCAATCATACGAAATTTGTTCATTTAGTAATCTAAATTACGCAAAATTGATTACGGATTAATGTTAATTGCAATTAATTATCAGTGGAAACAAAATGATTACACCAATAAATATGCTTTGATATCTCTTATTCCATTTTTCTCGAACAGAATCAACTTCTATATTATCTATGAATTTTACTAACAGAATAATCAACTGATCAACTGATGTAACTAACACTCAAATTTCTCTCTTGTAAAATCAAGGCTTTGCCTGTTCATCTTCACGTTATTCACGGTTTTGGCTACGGTGGTCATACTGTGTCGTGCGCCACATATAATCGTCCAGTAATAGACTGCCCCGGTCGAACCGAAAAAAAGCACAAAAAATGCCACGGATAGCGCCTCCTAGAATTTGGTAAGTTTACTCGTGCTTTTTATCCTAATATTTAATGTTTTATGACAATCACCCTTCTTGCGCTTTATACGTTAGTTTTTCCATGCGAAAAATACCACGAATAGCTCTTTTTCTTTCGCAAAAATCACGAACTCACTTAATCTCGCGCGGCTAATTTCCAGACCAAAATCGGCATATAAATTCACACGGATTAGATAGTCCGCGATCATTACGTGCGAATGACGCGGGCCAGATGGCTATAACACAGTTAATACTGCGTGGAAATGTTAACAAGCGCCATGTGTAGCAAGCTTGCCCCGTTGGCTGCCACGTGTACTGAAAATTTCCAATCGCGCCAATGCGAATGTCTCTATCTCACTATTTCGCTGGGGCTAATTGCCAATCGTTGCCTGCAAAGCGCACTCGTATTATTATTTATGTATTAACGTGAATACTCAACTATTTGATCATGCGATTTCAAATACTCAGATACGTATTATATGTTCCGTATTGATTTTATCTGAAAATTAGCTTTGACTAATACGTTTCGAAATAAGCATGGCTTACATATATTGCAAATAACATCTATTACTTGCATATAACAATCCATAAATTAGTAGATTTTAATATTCATGAAGTAACACTCTACACAGAGAGCTTAATGTTTTAATTGCGTAATTACACCGAAAAAAACTAAAATGTTAATGAGTTCCAATTTGCCTCTTTTGCATTCTTTGTATAAACATTCTCTTGGAAAAACAACGCGTAAAAAATAAATTTTTATTTCGTATTTTTTTCATGAATTTAAAAAATTCTTACAGCACCTAATTATACTTTTCTCTCTCAATTTTCTCAAGCTTAATATTCTCTTCTGAGTTGAATATTTTAAAGTTATCGGAATACATTAGTGAAAGATTTTGATGGAAAACTCAACATTTTGATCCTCAAGATTGATGGAAGTAGAAATCCGACTCGAATTCTGAATGATAAGCTTGCGAAAATCAATCGCCGCAACCTAGAAACCTCTCCCCGAAAATACAATGTTTAAAAAATCATCAGTCAGACATGTCGCGTTATACTCGCGCTTTCTTCTCTCCCTTTCGCAGGAACGACGTCCGATACAATTCGAGGAGGCGGCTAAGGAGCGCGTCGAAGTGACGGGAAAGCGCGGAAAAAGAGAGACGGACTCGTTAGCCCCTTTCACGCCCTTCTGCGCGACTCACCCCCTCCGGGAACGTTGCCGCGTTCCTGGATTCCTCATGTTGGGAATCCGCCGCCGGGTTGTGTGCCCCGGTTCTTTCGCGACGTGCTTTCATTTAGGCGAATAAGAAGGCAAGCAGGAGTGAGATCGATGACGTTCAACGAGAAAAGTCACACAGAGAAGACGGACCTCCGGCAGCAGCGGCAGCGGGCGCGCCTCAGGAAACAACGTCTGGAAGACGCTCCCGGATTCGTGAAGAGAGAAGAGACGGAAAGAAGGGAACAAGGATCCGACCGCCGACATCATACTTCGTTGCGGCTGCGTTCTTTCGTTTAAGTGACTTAATTAACATTTCTAGTGCGGAAACTGGTAGGTAGTCGACGACGCGCGACGCGAGCTGGACGGAGAGATTTAGAGGATGCCTCTAGATCATAGACGAAGAAGGTAGGTGCAGGCGAGAGAGGACGCGCTGCCGAGTGAGTCTGAAGATGCGTCTCGCGAGCTCATGTCGATCGCGACTTCGTTCAGCGATCGCCGCGGTTGCCGTTCGACGATCGGGATCGATCTCGCTTCACGACCGATGCGATTTCGCGAACAAAGAAAAGAAAAAGAAAGGACGCGCGATGAGTCGACAGCGTCACGAGAAAAGGAGATCGCGCAGTCCTCGGAAGAGCGTTGTTGCGGCCTTTCGATAATAGTAACAATAACGATAATATTTCTTATAATAATGAGAATAATAATTAACGATAATTACCGTTAGTTGCTTTGTGCGCGCGCGCCACGCGCGCACGCGTTACGACCGAGTCGTAATTAATTAATTAACGCCGCGATCTGTTGAGGGTCTCTCGTGGGGAGCCAAGACGGACTTTAAAATAACTGCCAAATAGAAAACTCGAGTCAGGGGTGTTCAACCTTCTCAAACGGTGGGAAAGTAAAGTGCGGCCTGGACGATCGACAGGGTGAACGCGCGCGGCGCCGTGACCAATAACAAGAGTCGAGACGAAGGCGACCGTGTCACCGTTTATTTCCTTTCGACGGGATCTCATTTTTCCCCGCGTACACACAATCCGCGGCTTAAGCGGAGGCACGTTTCAGCCGAGTGTTTCCATAAAAGGCGAACCCTATGAGGCACGAAGTAATGAACTTGCACCGTCAACGATCGCGCGATCGACCCTCCACGCTCGATATATTTTTCCACATTCTCTCCTGGTTATAAAGCCCTCCCCATCTCGCACTCGAAAGCCGACACAGAAGTGCAAGAGCGATCCCTCCGCACTTCCGCAAAATTCCCGCCGGATATTTTCGCACCGCAGCCGCGTGTCACTGCAATATGTGTGTGCGTACACGCGAGAAAATACACAAACGCACAAAGGAGCGGTCGGCGCGTCGCTTACTCAGCCGATCGGCGGAAGAGGGTCGATCGATTGACGATCGGCCGCTCATTCGTCCGGATCGTACGAGCCGCACGAGTAACGCAGCGAGTAACTGGCGAGCGGACAGAGACGAAACGCGACGAGAGCGAACGAACCGTGGAATAAAAAAAAAAAAAAAACTGCCACGTTGGACCACCCCTGCTTTTCGTACAGAGCCAACGCGTACTCGAGTCCTCGAGGACCTCGGTGAATCCGTCGTGGATCGTGACCGAGCGCTGCGAAAGCGATCGATATTTGAGAGCCCATGCCTACCACGACGACGATTTGTATCTCGGTGGATCGCACAGTTTCGTTGCTCGACTACGCGCTGTCAAAGCTTTCGACGACTGTAAAACGTAAAGTGATCCCAAAGCGTGTCACGCTCTTTTAACATGTGTCGCTTTTGTTTCACTCTTTGGCCAAATAAATCTTGTACATCGATGTACAAATAAAAGTGAGTTTACAGTTACACTTTCGCGAATAAAGCATTTTTACGTCTTGAACAAAGAATTTTATTTTTTACATAGTGAAATTATCATACGGCAAACTACGGCAGGTGCAGCGTCGGATTAAGGATTCTATTGTTTTAGATAATACAATTTTCAAACTAGAATTATTACTTTCATAAAATACTTATGTTCTCGATATAGAATAAGAGTTTTGTATTTAAAGGTTATTTACTTTTCATGAAAAATGTTCCGTGCAAAAAACAGAGACAATGAGTTGCATTCCGTGATAAGGATAATGAATCGGATCGCATATATCAGAACGAGATATTTGTGACGATTTGAAACCGTTTCCACCGTTAGCGCGAGCGAGATAAAGAAAATTCGTGACCCCGAGCGAGCTAATCAAACAATTAATTCTCGAAACGGGTGCCGGAGCCCTGCAGAGTCCTCATTAGCGTAAACTCGTCGTCGGCCGAGTCGGTACTTTTTATATGCCATGCGCGGCTAATTACGAACTGACGAATCCGCTCGTTATCGCGTGTCACAAGGGTTATGCAGATCAGTGTTTCATTTATGCGAACGAATTTCACCAGATTATTGTACCATCATTATTTTCTGCTCTTGTTTATTTTATCGCCGTTAGATATGAGCATTTTGTCGATTTGGATACGTTTCGGATCCCGTGTTGTTCAGAATTTCAAATTATATTTATGTTTTACCATGTCGTGACATTCATTTCCCGTCGCACAGTTTGATATTAATGGCACTAAATGCATCGGAAAAATATTTAGTTACGCGATAAGACAAATAAATATTACAAGGCTTTAACAGCCGTAACAGACAGTTGTATACAATTAATATTAATTTAGAAAGTTCTTGTAATATTTAATTAAGCAACTAATTTTCGTTTTTCCAAGGAATTTTAAGATTTTTTTTAGTGACAACGTTATGCAGGTGATCGTCGCGTGGAATTTTCTGCTTAAATTTTTCACCAAATAATTTTTTTCCCTTTAATAACGCATAAAATCTGCCCCGACACGTGTACATAAAAATGCACGTAATTAATATAATAATAAAGCGAAGTATTATATCAAAGATCTTTCGCCATTACAGTCGCCGAAGGTTTTGACGTCGTCAAACATCCCCGTTCCCAGTCCGCCCTCCCTACCTCATTTAACGAAGCTGTACGGAATGACAAAGTGATATAATTGTTCAAACGACGCGAAAGATATAATGATGAATAACGTTAAAATGTTCCGACCAAATACTCAAATAAATATGTACATAAAAAAACGAGAAAGCGTTTTGCGTAGCGTGGGACTTAAGTGCATCGTACAGCGATCTAGTTGGTGCATGAGTGAGCAGTGTCATCGGCTAAGCACGCACGCGTACACACCTATACCTATACACAAGAATGCACGACGTTTAAATAGGGCGGCGACAGTATATTTATCCGCATCTCACAAACAATTCTCTCAAAAGCGAGCTGGATCATCGACGATGGATCGATCGCGTGCCGATCGAGATTGTCGATCGCTCCGATCTCTCACGGACGACCGTAAATCGCGCGCCGAGGGCGATCCACCGGTGCGGGAAGAGCCGAGCAAATCAAATCAAACGGGAATCATCATTGCAAAATTCGTTTCTCGAGGACGGTTTCGATAATTATCGATCATTGCCGACAATCATTTCGCGGGGACGTAGATTTGCGGCGCCCGTGGAGCACAAAAAACGAGGAAGCGCGGACGAAAGAATTGTGATACAATGTGATTCGCGGGACGCATACGAGAAAACGGGAACGAGGTGCGCGACGCGAGAAACAATTTCGAGCACAACGAATCGCGAATGGAATTCGTGAACACGCAGAGAGAAGATTGAAGGACCGTTTACACCACGCAATTTCCCGACGCGATGTCTCTGGGAATATCGTTGAGCTATCGTTGCAATGCCATTCTAAAATCGTAGCTGTAAGTCGTCGCGTACAGCCATAATAATAATTGAATGAGAGTCGGTTAGAATATGTCGTATGTTGAAATACTTTGTATATGTGTATTCGCGACTGTGTAGCGCCAATTAATTAAGATGCTATTAAAAATTATAACGAGGTACGGAAGAATAAATAGATTCGGTTCAAATGTAACAAGAAATGATTATAACTCTCATGATAATTCGAGCTACGAATTCGTAATCATTGAATCATAATCATTGAATTAGCTATAATTCATAATCACTGGCTCAATAAATAATTGTGTAATTGTGTAACTTGATATTCGTTCGAGTGAGCTTAGTTAAACCAAGCGTTAGTTTCATTCATTCATTCAGTTTCCAGATTTCCCGCGTGCTTTTCTACGCTGATCTATTTTATTGATCCGAACTGATGTCGCTGAAATAAATCTGCGGTGTAAACGGGTCCTGCGGGATCGCTGAAACAATCGATATCGTACGGGAGCCACCGACGATTTCGAGGCAGCGCGGCCGATCGACGGGAGATTCACCCAGGATGTCCTCCGATCTAGCGTAATTTTCTAACTCATCACGCGCGCGTCACGTAATCTATAAGTATACGAGTATAACGACGGCAGCCAGTTGGCGAGTGTGTGATTAAGAGGGACGAGAAGAGAGTCCGGGGGCGCGTCGCGATGCCGTCGTGAAATCGGCCGCGGGAGCGAAACCGTCGCGTACAAATCGAGTTCGAGAAATGCAATCTGCGGTCTCGAATGGCACACTCGCGAGAAATGACATTTACTATAATAGCGATATACCATGGCGGGAAGGGAAGATACACACGTAGGTCCGTATTGCGGGCGCGGATTTAGCGTTAACTAAAACCGGCTGTGTCGATTCCCACGTCACGTTGGTTTTGTGGACTTTGTATTAGGCAAATAAAACTCGGGCAACCGCGTTTAGCGCTAAACACGCGGCGAAAGTGCGGGCCACGTCCTCTCGCAACAAATACATGTGTATCTTCTCGTTGCCGCCGTATCGGAAATTTTTTTATATATAATACAATACGAGGGCAAAGGGACGGTGGGAGAGTAGTGCATTGTTAATTCCAAAAACGCTCATTAAAAACGAATCTAGCGAGTATCACAGCGTAAGAAAATTTTACATGGTGTTTGTACGTTTAAGGGACTAAAACGCGTTACACATACACATACACACACACACACACACACACACACACACACACACACACACACACACACAGAGAAGATCACTCTGCGATCGACCACCATACGTAATTAATGAGAATATTAAAAGAGCACGCGAAAAAGATCAAATTACGGGCGGTGAGAAACGTAGCACGAGAGAGAGAAAAAAAAGGAGGAAAAAAAATAAGAAACGAATCCGTGTAATGTTAAGCGAATTAAGCTCTAGAGGCTCGATGTACGGTAATCGTTTGGTTAGTGTGGTTATTATTACTATTGTTTATGCCGAAGAAAGCGACGATCATCGTTAGTACTATTATCACACATACACACACACGCACACAACCAGACAGATACACACACATAGACACACACACGTGCAAACACGCATACACACACCGCAGGACTATTACTAATTAATATGATTACCGTTACTATTTATCACTACTACTAGCGCTACTGAATATTTATTATTATGATTATCATTACTACTACTATTATTATTACTAATGTCGTTACTAACTATACTACTACTACTATTACTACTACTACTACTACCGCTAGAAGCTACACTTACTATTACCTACCTACCGCTGCTACTATTGTTACTATTATTGCTAACTTCTAACTTCTCCACCGGGCGTGGAGCGCGCGATGTCGCGAGGGATCGCGCACGATTTTAGCTGTAAGCTAAGCGACCTCGATTTGCGTTTTTAATATTCGAAATATTGCGGTATAAAATGTGCAGTGGACAGATAGAGCTCAAGCGATATCACGACGCATTCCGAATTCGTCGGCCGAATTTAAGGGTTAACCATGGCAAATTGTCACAATAGTCACGCACGTTTATTAGCTGTGTGACGCGAGCGACGCATTGATGATACCGATTTTGTAAGCTTTTCGGATTAATATTGGGCCAAAGGTAGAGCCAACATTTTTTATAACGAGGGCTCGCAGCGTTCTTTTAGTCGGGATGTAATTCGACCCGGGACAATTCGACTCGCGGAAACATTCTTTTCTATCGGCCTTTCGATCGGAGATAAACGAGTAGAATTCGGTAGAGTCGTTGCTATTGCATCCTTAATCAATAACAATCGCAAGAAACGACGCGAGTAACGCCACGCGTATAAATTGATAAGGTTACTCGATGTTGCGTAATAATTTGAAACACGTGACCAATCAGGCCGACTTGGGAGAGACACGGTTATCTTTGCGCGCAAATTCTCTTCAGTCGCGATTTGTTTGGAAAACTCTTCCGCATTCGCACACTTAATCCTTTCAGTCCCGAATAATATCAAAACGAAAAGTCGAAAGTGATTTGTGAAAATCACTTTGCAGCAATTTTTATAAATGAGTTTTCATAAAATAATCTATTATACAGCTACTTTTACAAACATAAAATATAAATAATGTGAAATAAAATAATTAAAAAACATTCAATCAGTTTCTTATAATTAGGACTGCATTTTATGTTTTTATTTTGCGATTTCATTAAATCAGACACACTTTTCTTGCTATCACTCAAACTTTTAATTTTCGCACTTGGCTCTTGATAACATCTTCTACTTTACAATTAAACATTTTCTATACAGATAAAATTGTTGCAGCGTGACTGGGGCTGAAAGAGTTAAGCGCTGCATCGATTTTCCACGCGCGCGGTTCTCTTTCCGGTAGAACGGCTAGATTTCTCGATTACCTTCGCCGCGATTAAGGATACGTACGATAAAAAGGGTATCGGCTTCATCGGTACGAAGCTCGTTTCGCCCACCGCCGCGTAGGCGCAAACGGGCGCATTGAAACATGAAAATCGTGTAAATAACTTCTGTGATAAGAATCGATTATTAGTAATTGCCGAATGCGAAACCCCGTTGAAATGAGAAACGTCGGCAGAAGTAGCGACGCGAGCCCAAGCCGACAATAAATCGCCGACGCGAAACCGTCGCACGATGAAGATAATTTAAATAGCGCCCAACGTTTTTTATGTTGCTTGCAATATTTTCCTGCTACGCGCATGCAATAAACAAAAATAAAAAGAGTACGGTAGGAGTTCTTATTTTATTTTTATCTTGCATTAAGCTAGTTTTTTTTCAAAAGATGATTGAACGGTATTTACTTGTATGGAATATTTTATGAAAATATAATGTTTCGATGTGTGCAAAGTATATTATTTTCAGTTATTAAAAATTGCTCTTAATTTTCTTTGTAAGCAATGTGCGTAGATAAAGCGTTAATGCAGACATCAAAATAATGATAGTTTATGGCCGGAATAATTTTCCGAATTATCGATTCGATTTCTGTGCCAAACAATTTGTTCGTGACAGATGAAATTGGCTTTCAAACGTTTCCCTTCTGCAAAAAGAATCCTTGGCATTTTTACAGCCATCTTTTATGATTTGTGCGATTTTCACCCTGCATTCTTACGAGAACAAACAGCAAAATGTTAGATAAAAGATCCGCGTATGATACGGTATCGGTTTCGTGTTGCGCGGCAAAGTTTAATGCGCTTTTATTTGCGGCTAATTGATGCCGAGTAGCATCGACTCTCGCGGCCCCATCGAACGAAGGCGAGCCGGAAATGACGGGGCTTAGTCTGGAAATTGCCAATCGACGTCTAATTCGGCTGCTCGCGGCCAATTTCGACTCGGCGCCGAAGATGAAGCGGCGACGCGCGTGCTTGAAATACGATCGCCCCGATCGAGGCGGAGAGGAGAGATCAAAAGAGCTTGACCAGCAAAAAACGCCCGGCGATTTTCCTCGGCAACGTATTCGAACGGCGAATAACGATCAATCCGCTAATTGTAGCGCGCTCGCTAATCACAGGCGAAACCACACGCAGACGGAAAACGCGCGATCTGTTTTTACTTTTTTATACGACACACGCTTCGCCGCGACGATGATGAGGCGCTTCGCTTTTCGAAGGTAGATACGTCTGATTGGTCGTGAGTGCCGAGTATTGACGACGATACGAGAATTGGAAACGAGAAAATAAGAGAACGAAGGAAAGAGAGAAAAAAAGGGCTTGGATCTCGCGATGTTACTTCCGACGTGCAAGCAATGCGGAGCAGTCGCGGGGAGCACTCGTTACGCACTTAAGCGATTTCGTTTCGAGTCCGGAGGTGGTGCATTATTATCGATAAAGCCGTACGCCGTGCGTCGACGCGCACATACGCGTACAATTTGAACATACGAATATAAATATATACATATATACATATGGATATAGGCGTATACATAGATAATGCATTATACATATATACATATTATATATATATACATATAAATATATAGCTAATATACATATATAAATAGCGGAAACAATATTGTAACATACAAACATGGGCGAGAATCTGCTAAAGGTGAAAAAGATGCTATATATAAATTGACATTGAACGTTAAACTAATGGATAGTGCGAACTGTTAATAAATTGTAATATTAACTAATTCATTAATGAACTAAATACAAAGGAATTGAACTAGGTTACACGGGCAACTGGTAGTCTGTCCCCAAACATTCGTCTCTGTTCCTACTCTCTGCGAATGTGAACTCGCGCGTTGCTTTCGGTATATACATATATATATATATGGTTTTGCGATCGCCACGAGAAGCGTCTCACCCGTTTGATTTCTTCTTGGGTTATTTTTTTCTTTCCGTCGGATAGAGATCATGTATCTCTAATTAAGTTTGTCACGAATGAATCGAGCTGTTGGCAACACGTCAGACACATCCCCCCGCAATGCTCTCTCATTTATATAATTATTATACTCACATTGTACATAGGACACCATTGTATACACACGTGTGCCAAGAGTGATTTCTAAACGCAATATAAAACCGACATGCGAATCAAAAGAAAAAAACCGAAAGGTAACGATGACGCAGAGGAGACTGCGAGAATGTCGATTGTCATCGTACCTCTCCCGAATTCTGCACTGATTATCAAATAAAAAGTACGGTTTGACCTCACGCACCGGCTGCTCGTATTTTATTCCTCAGGAATAAAAGCCGAGGGTGGTCCCTTTCCTTCCCACACAATCCGCGCCCCTGTTCGCTTTCGCTCTAACGATAACGTAAGAGATGAGAAATGTAAAAGAAAACCAAGAAAGACCAAACGAAAGCGTCGAGACCTTTTTTTTCTTCATCGACGCGAGTCAAAACGCGAAGAGTGACCATACGTCAACGTCAGTGGTACGCACACGCGTTGCGAGGAAACACGCGCATGCACACATTGCCACGGATTGTCCGTCGATGGATCGATCCACACAAGTCGTTTTACATGCGATAGATACGTAATGTTACGCCGTTGTAAGTGACGTGCGCGAGACGAGGTGTCATGTAATTAAATTAATAATAATAACCGATGGAGGAGACAAGCCAGCCGCGCGCGGTATGCTCAAAATGTAGAATAAAAATTACGATGTATTGTACAATGCGTTTAAGGATACCCTTATGTATAGATAACACGTTAATATGGAGTGTAAATGCGACTGTCGTGATGAAAGCTGGACGGGACTGTTGAAACTGTAGGATTAAAGCGAGGATGCGAGAGCGAAAATTCGACGATATTTGCAGCGAAGCGTCGCTATGTATAGCGTGAAAAAAAATAATACGAATGCAAAACTACATGCATAATCTTGCGTTCCTAACAGTGAGAACTTTGTCCGATGAATAAATGACGGATTGACGCTAATTGATTTTAATTTCCTTTTCACAATATCGAACGCGCGAATCGACAGAAATTTAATTCATACAAATTGAAAGAATATAGTTATTACTTCTGCTATAAATACAGTGGCTTTTATTCTACTCCTTTTTAAAATTCCATGCTAAATCATATAATTTGTGAATATTAAAAATTCAAAGTCTTTTTTGAGTGTATCTCACTTCCAAATTTTAATATATCTGTGAGTATAATCAATTCGAAACATATTAAGTCTATATATACGTATATATAAAGTTTTTAATAAAAGTGAAAGAAATGAAATGAAGATATAATGTATAAATCGATAAGGTGCAGTCTGGAAGTTCTTTCAAACGATTATACATGTACCAAGCGAAAGAGTTTAAATGCAATGTTAATAATGAATGATGTATATTGGTGAAGACTCGATTCGCGAGATATCGAGTGCTATTATTTAATTATTATTCTTATCGTTATTTATTTAGAGATATAATATCTTTCGTTTAAATCGATGTAAGATGCGATAAGTTTCAACAGTTTTGTACGAGTAAGATGGAAATAAATGTCACGCAGTCCTTGTCTTCTACAAAAATCCACCTTTTATTCCATCGAGTTTTACCTAAATCTTGTGTAATATTGAAATACAAGATAAATTCATAAAATAAAATTCATAATTCAATAAAAGCAATTTCATCAATTTTATTCACCTCGATAATTATTCCCACCCCATTAATTCGAAATGTTCAACGTGACAATATTAAAAAAGATCAACATTATGATAGCAATATAAGATGATTTTATATTTTTCT